CTCTTTCCTTATATCCTGTAATAGGGATCAGCACACTGCAGCCCATGGGCCAAATCTGGTCTACCACCTGTTTTTGTGAATAAAATTTTATTGGAACACAGCCACACCCATTCGTTTACGTTTTATCTGTGGCTGCTTTCATACCACACAACAAAGTTAAGTAGTAACAGAGACCCTGTGGCCTGTAAACACTGGATGATTTACTCTCTGGCTCTTTACAGAAAAAGTTTGCTAACCCCTATTCTATAACATCTCCTCTGGTTTTCTTCCAATTGTGGAGCTGAGAGAACATGTAAGAGCCAGTTCTTAGTCAAGGCTGTAAAAGCTCTGGTTAAAAATCACTTGAAGTTGAAAATCACTGAAGAAGCTCCTAGATCTTCCCTGCTACTTGGCTCAAGAAATAGTGCCTGACATTTCTTAATTAAAAAAAGAAAAGCTGTCATAATAAATGTAATAATCATAAATGGAATAATTTGAGCACTGTGCTGAGGAGCTTATAAACATAATCTAATTTACATGACCAGCTTTGTGAAGCGGGTGTTTTTAGCTTCATCTTACAGATGAGAAGGTTGAAGCACAGAGAGGATGTTAGGCTGCCCATGGTTACATAGCTAAGAAATAGCCTCAGGGCCCATGTGCCTAATCACCACACTAGACTGCCTCCGGAGGGCACTGGTGTTTCAGAACCAGCACCAAATGAAAAGACAGAAGATGTTGGTGAGCAAATACAGTATGTGATGCTGGGTGAGCTTTCCGAAGGTTAGCTTTGCAGTTTGGGAGTGCAGAATTACATTAGAAAGCCAACTAAACCTGGGGAAAAACACCCAACAAACCATGACTCTGCAGACCAGTCTTGTGACTTCTAGAGAACTCTTTCTGAACAATGGATTGCAATCCTGATGCAGTGGGGGCTCTTTGACTGTGCTGGTCAAATGGTATGCTAGCAGGGGCCCCTGAAGCAAGTGCACACAGGAGAAAACAAAATCAGGTTGACTCTTCTTGCATGTTGTACTAATGTCAGTGTCTTCTTTTAATGGGCCTTTGGTGATTTGAAAAATAGAGGCTTATAAAGAACATGTACATGGACCAAGAGTTTGTCTCTTGTTCCCTCTACTGAGTTTTGACCTTGAAGTGTGTTAGGGTGGGTCTGAGGTCTACCTCTGTTAGTGTGGAAGGCTCAGGTGGGACGCGCCTGGGCAAGGGGAACTTGTTGAGCCTGTACATGATTTTCAAGCCCTGTGGATCCTTCACCTTTGCTGAGATAAAGCAACCAGCACAGTGTTATGAAAGTGTGAAGAGCCCCAGGTGTGCATGTAGGGAGGAGAAGGGGTATGCATGTGATGATGGTGGTAAGGCACTGGAAGAACTTCAGGGGTGACAACAAATAGATGAAGTCAAGCAAGGAAAACACTTGGATCCACCAAATAGCAGAAGCAGACCAGGAAGGGGATTCTGAAGACCTGAGCCAGGGGCAACAAGTGACCCTATGGTTTAAGGGAGCAGCAGTGCCAATCCTGTCGGTAGGGGGCCCAACCCACCAAATAGAATGTTAAGACTCCTGCCTGCGAAGGGCCATTTCACAGCCTTTCATCACCTGAGAATCCCAAAGCCATTCTCTTTCTTGCCTAACAGTGGTAGAGCTCATTTTGAACAAGCAGCTGTGTGAGGTAACAGTTTTATCATTTTCTTGTCCCATAGTATTGCCTCCCTGATCCAAACCCATATACCATGGAGTTATTAAGGCAAGGGATATCATGCTGGAATTGATCATTCTGCAGATAATATACTCGTCTTTCAGGGTTTCTTTGGCCTAGAATTCTATTAAAATTCAAGCATGAAGGATGACTTGGAAAACATTATGGCCCTCAAGGAAATTTTCTGTCTGGGGGGCAGACAGAGACATATGCAGTTGGCTATAGTACAAGGTGGACTTTAATGAGAGCTACAATCAAAGTACAGGGAGTAACAAGAATAGAGGGAGCAAGATGAATTCTATCTTGAGGGATTTGAGAATGTTATTTTCTTACGTTTTTCCTTTCTTCATTCTCTTCTACCAGCTGCCTACAGGTGGATGCTCTGAAGTTCTACCTTCCCTTTCTTGTGTGTTGGCTCTGGTGGAAATTCTGACTATTCTCCTGGCTTTCCTTTTGGTATTTTTGCCTTTTTAAAAAAATTGCGGTAAACAGCATGTAACATGAGATCTATGCTCTTAACAAATTTTTAGTGTATAGTACAGTATTGTTAACTATAAGCACAATGTTGTATAGCAGATCTCTAGAACTTTTTCATCTTGCATGACTGAAACTTATCCCATTGAATAGCAACTTCCCATTTCCTCCTCCCCATAGCCTCTGGCAACCTTCATTCTACTTTCTGCTCCTGTGAGTTTGGCTACTTTAGATACCTCGTATAAGAAGAATCGTGCAGTCTTGTGCTTCTGCAATTGGCTTATTTCACTTAAACTGATGTCCTCAAGGTTATTCCATGTTGTAGCATGTAACAAAATTTCCTTCTTTCTCTTGGATGAATAATATTCTGTTGTATATACCACATTTTTAAAATTAATTCATCCCTTGATAGACGTTTAGGTTGTTCGGACCTCTTGGCTATTGTGAATAATGCTGCAGTGAACCTGGGTGTGCATGTATCTTTTTAAGACTCCAATTTCAATTCTTTTGGATAAATACCAAGAAGTGGGATTGCTGGCTCATATGGTAGTTCTATTTTTAGTTTTTTTGAAGAACTTCCATACTGTTTTCCATAGCAGATGCACCTTATTCCCAGCAACAATGCATAAAGGTTCTGATTTCTCCACATCCTCACTAACATTTATTATTTTCTGTTTTTGTTTTTTGTTTTTTTTATAATGAACATCCCAGTAGGTATGAGATGATATCTCACTGAGGTGTTGATTTGCATTTTTCTGATGATTAGTGATGTTGAATGTTTTTTTCATGTGCTTCTTGGCCATTTTTATGTCTTCTCTGGAGAAATATCTATTCAAGTTCTTCTTCTACTTTTTAACTGGGTTGTTTGTTTTTTTGTTACTGAGTTGTGGGGGTCTCTTTGCATTTAATTCTAAATCTCCATACCCCTACCTGACAAACTCTGCACTCATGTCTTCTGCTACTCCTCATCCTGATTCTTCGGCCCTGTTTCCTTCTCATCACTCTGTTCCTGCCCCCTTCCCTTGGTTTCTGAAAGATACTCACACTCAACTCTGACACATTCTTAAAAACCTAGGTCGAGTCAAAGTTCCCTATGGATCCTTCCCTGACCACCCAGCCAGAATGGCTCTCCCTCTGCTGAAGTCTCCGGTACTTCCTGTCTGTATTGCTTTTGAGCAATTGGCAGAGACTGCAGTGGATATTACACGTGTGCATATTTGTGTTAACTGAACTCCATTTTCTGAAGGGCAGGGACTCTGTATCCCAGAGGACTTTACACAACACCTTGCCACACTGTAAAGGGGCATGAAGCCTAGAAGAAGATGTGTGTGTGTGTGTTTGGGTGTGTGTGTGCGCACACACATGTGGATGTGTGCATGTATGTTCTGGGTACAGAAGACAGAGCTGAACTGTAAGCCTGAGTGTGCTCTGGCAAGAGAAAGAGGACATGGAGGGAGCAAAGTCTACATGGACAAGCCACTGTTAATCCCAAGAGAGAAAGATGAGCAGGACTGGGACAGGGAGGAAGGGTAAAGGTCAGTGATCAGGGCTGTTTAGCAAGTTGGGATTGGAATAAACAAGCAGATTTATGTGAGAAGGTCATGACTGTAATCTGAGACATACTCTGCTGGATTTCAGCAAGTATGGGTTGACAAGTGTGTGATGGGAGCCAGAAAGAGGGTGAGTTCACCTTTCAATTCTGCAGGTAGTCAGAATAGCTGCTGCTAGTGGGGGTCAGCCTAGTTGGCAATCTGAACACCTCTTCTCTGAACACTGTGTTCTGGAGAATGTATGGCTTCCAACCTTGGTATAGCCTTGCTAGAAATCCTGGAAGTCCATGGCTAATCTGTAGGTTTGGTTAGTCCATGGCTAAACTGTTGGTCACCCAGAAGTCCCTAGGACAGCCAAAGCCCAGGATGAGAAGGTCACAGGACACACCTAGGCTGGACATATATGTGGCTCTTGAGTAGTGCTGGTTCGCCATGTTCCCTGCCGGGGGCTGGAGGACCATTCCCTAGGCCTCACAAAATCCATGGAGATCCTCTACCTCATGGCCTTCATTGCCTTCATAGGACTCCCCCTACACCTTTCACTGTGGTCAGGTTTTTATTGCTTCCACGACCCTGCCTTCCACCTTGAGCTCCAGCAGCCTGCTTTGTCTTGATGATGCCATGGCCAGTTCTGGTCCCTGTGTTCCCTGGGAGGGTTCCAGCAAGAGGATCATTTATGGGGCCCTGTCTTGTACCTCTGGAAAGTCCCTGAGTAGGTCAAAGGTTGCTCTCACATGAATCTGGGGAAACCTGACAACCTGGTCTTGCCTCTCCAGTAGGAGAGAAAATAATGAGGGTAGATTGGTTCTCTTGACAGCTAGCCCTCTTCCTCCTTGCTGGCTTTGAGAACAGCTTCATTCTTTCTGGCTGCTTTCTGACCCTCTCCTACTCCTCCAATTGCCATTATCCTGTGACATTGGCTTCCCAACCTGGCAGGTATGCAGAATCACCTTGATGCTTAGAAAAAGAAAGAAAGAAAAAAAGAAGTTCCTAGGCCCAGTCCCTGGAGATTCTCTTTAACTAGGTGTGGAGGTGGTCTGGGCATCTGGCATTTTTGTACATAGATATGGAAGGGTAGATGATGGACTTACTGGGTTCCTGAGTCATTTTTATTTCTTTCTTTGTCAGACTCCATGCTTTTTGGATTTTCTAGAGTGATCATGTATTTCTTTAGAAATCAGAGAAAGAATAGATGTTATTAAAAAACAGAAACCAGATCCCAGACTCATCAGTCTCTTTCAGAAACCATTAACCCTTGTAAATTTCTTCCTTTTTTCTGCAGGGGGACTTGATCTCATCCTCATGCCAGGTCTTGGGTTTGATAAGCATGGCAACCGGTTGGGGAGGGGCAAGGGCTACTATGACACCTACCTGAAGCGCTGTCTGCAGCACCAGGAAGTGAAGCCCTACACCCTGGCCTTGGCTTTCAAAGAACAAATTTGTGTCCAGGTCCCAGTGGACGAAAATGACATGAAGGTGGATGAAGTCCTTTATGAAGACTCTTCAGCATCTTAAGTCCTGATGACTGCAGCCAAATAATCAGTGTTTTGTATGGAAAATGTGTATTTTCCGTTGTCAAAAATTAGTTGAAATTGCTCTCTAATGTGAATATGGACTGCATTGTTTTTAATATAATTATAAAATACCTAACATAAAACTATCTTTAAAAGTCAATAGAAGTGTAAATAGTAGAACATTAATTAAAATGGAGGCAATCACTATATGATTTTCATGTTAACTTCCTGGTATTAACGTGACAAGTTGATCTTTCTGTTTTGAAATTTAAGTTAAATATTTATGAAGAACTGGGCTCTAACTCGGAGTGTGAGAGAAGGTAAACTTATCGGATTTGGACACTATTTCATTAAGTCCTGTCATATGCCTGTTCAGTCTCTGGCAAGTGTGTGAAGACTCAGCAATTATTAGTTGATTTGTTGGTGTTTGCTTTGCGTACATAGTTCCCCAAGAATGTTATACCACTTCATCATGACTTCGTTTACTCACCCTGAAATTTTATGTCTGACACTTTATAGCTTTTGGTGGTTAATTGACTGAAATGTTTTTATGATTTAAATACTTTAATTCCAGTGTTTGGTTCCCATCTCTGCTGTTCTGTATGTCAGTTACTTATGAGTTTGAGATCTGCTTTCCTGTAAGTTAGAAATTATTTTTGTTTATTTGTGGTTTCTGCTTTGGAAATGAAATCTGCTTTGGGCTGAAAGTTGGCAGATGGCATCACAGCTAGAGAGTGGTAATTTTGTGGGGGAAGATTTAGTTATAACCAGATATGCAGGAGTCTTCCTCGATGCTGCTCTCTCGCTCAAACCCCATGTCTAGCCTGTCACCAGGTCCTGTTGATTTTACCTCTGAAAAACCTCTTACCTCTGTTCTCTCCTCTCCGTCTTCCTGTCATTCCTTTTACCAAGGATCTTAGCATTTCTAAGCTGAACTGGGCAAGAGCCTCATCCCTGGCTTCCCTGCCCTCAGTCTGGACCTCTCCAATTAACTTCTCAAACTACAGTCAAAGTGGTCTTATAAAACATGAAGCTGATTGTAAAGCACCCTGATTGGAATCTTTCAGTAGCTGTTCAGAGCCTCCTGGGTAATGGTGACATGCCTTCTCTTGTGTAAAGTCCCTTAAGCGAGGTCTGCCATCTGTCTTTTTCTGGCCTCTTCTCTCCCCACTCCCGTATTCTTCTGCACCACTTATACAAGCGTACGCATAGTTTCTTGAGCATTGCGGGCTGCTTCTGCTCTTTGCACCTTGTAAGCATGCTTTTTCCTCTGATTGCAATGCCGTCTCCTCTCTTGTTCATCTGGAAAACTCCTGTTTATCCTTCAAGACTCCGCTCCAGTGCCGTGTCTTCTGTAAAGTCTTCCTCTCCGTTGCCAAGCAGAGTCAGTGTTCCTTCACTTGTTTGAATAGCCCTGGCCATTGTCCTCTTTGTTATATGGTCCTGCATATCAATTATTGATTATCATGTCTGTCGCCTTCACCAGACTGTGAGCTCCCAAAGAGCAGGGATAATTTTTATATTTCTAACGCTTAGTAGACACCGAGACATAGAGTGGGTGTTTGAAATTTTTTTTGAATGAGTTAATTGAATACATTCAGAAGTGTTTCTTTGAAGCACAAATCCAAATTCTTTGGATAATAGCATATGATTTGATGTTTTATGCACAAAAGCAAAAACACTTAAAAAATGTCACTCGTGCTAAAATTAAACTTTCACAATATAATATGAGCAGTGAGAAATGGCAGGGAAACAGGATGTCTGCAAGTTATAAAATTGTATGACTGTACAGGTTAGAAATGTTGTTAAGGGTTACTTCAACCATAAGGTTAAGGTGAATGTTGGTATAGCTGGCATGACTCTTGGTCTGAAATGGTTAAACAGGAGAATTCCTGAGCTGCTGCAGGTTGGGAAACTGAAGCACCATTGAAACCGATCTGTTATTTTACCAAAGGAGAGCATTTAAAAATCACTCCCCAGCTCCTCAAGTGCAGACAGAATACAGTCAACTGGCAAGAAGACCCAGGGTGCTGAGACTGAAGAAAGTCAGAGGGCTACAAGGTCTCTCACCTGGAAAGAAGGCCATTTCCTAATGACCAGTAGTGAGCAGTGGTCATTGTGCAGAGGGTATTGGAAAAGGAGATAAAGCCCTAATGATGCAGGTGATGATGATACTGTAACTCTAATTGGGTCATAAGCAGAGGCTGAGGACAAGGCCTTGACCCCAGGAAGCCAGCCAGCATCATGAGGGTCTCAAGTGAGGGGATTATTCAGGTAGACGAGAAATGGCAACTAGATCTGAACAGAAACAATTCTTAGTATTGGGGAATTGGAAATATATTGGAGCCCCAAGATATGTCAATGATTGCTGCCTATTCTAAAGAACTGTGTAGAAAGTAAACTATGTGAAGTTCTAGTCCATCTAACAGATATCAATAAGAACAGTGCACATTTAATCACAAAGTCCTACTCGGAGATCAATAAATATGTCTAGGCATGGGTGGCTTGATGTAGAAGCTCAGTTCCTGGTCCCTGTTCTTTTCTCTTTCAGAGATCATTGAGATTGAGTTAATCACATTGCAATTTATTCATATGTTTACCTGCTTATTTCTTCCACTTGGCTGTGACCTCCTCAAAGGCAAAGTCTCTGCCAAATTTATGGTTTACTCCGTTATCTACCAGAGTCCCTAGAACAAAATAAATAGCCACTAAGTTCTTAATGAAGGAATGAACCAGTGTGCTTGTTGCCCTGTGTTTTGCACTTGCTGGTTTATATGTTGGTTGCTATTTGCTGCTGAGATTCTGTGTCCTTTCAGCATTGTCTCAGGATTGGATTATTCTAGAATAGGTGTTCCATTACTGCAGTTGCATTGCCTTCCTTGGCCAGTCCGTATGTGTGTGTTGCATTATCTGTGCTACCTGGCCTTGTTGATGCTTTCCTTCTTTGCATCTTTGTGGTCATCTTCCCGCCTTTGCCCAGGCAGTCACAGTCCCTCTGCCCTTTAAGGGAAGTCTCTAATCCCTGTGAGCACCCACCCCAAATAGATGTTTGTTTATATCTTTAAAAATAAGTAAACTTCTTTCTAAATAATAATATCTTATACACATTTGAAAATATACACAAAAAGGAAAAGGATGAGGTAATTGAAACAATGTATTTTCTTTTCTTTTTTTGAGTTAGACCAACAGTTTTATTGAAAGATGAGAACAGAGCCACTTCCCCCGAGCATCCTGGCAGCGTTGGCCTCAGGTACAGGACATTATGTATCCTGCAGCCCTAGAGAGCCAGAATATGTTTTCTATAATTTATAATCTACTTAATTTTCAACGGAGAAAGCAATGTGATGGAGATTTTTTAAAATGTATTGTTTTTGAAAACCTTGCTTTAACCTCTTTTGAATGATTCAAAAGTCTGATTCTAATTCAAGTTTATTTCAATATTTGCTTTTAAGGGCTTATAATTATAGCTGAAAAAGCTACCTTCTAGAGATAAGCAGATCCAAATGAAAGCAGTACTACATTTACTAAAGTTTTCAATTCTATCTACCAATTTTGTAAAGTTTTTAAAATTGAAATCAGGCTAGTAAATATCCGTTTTCTTGATGTGAATCATTCATTCTTGCACATTAATCGGAAGATGTTACACAGTTACTTTGTTAACAAATGGGTTCAAACCTTATTAAACTCCTTGAAAGAGAAACCAAGTTAGAAAAATTCTGCTTTCAAGTATTTTAGTTGTGCAGATATGAAAGTGTTTATAGGTGTCCTGTGTAGTTTTTGGCAGCATAATCATATAGTGATGAAAACATTTCCAAATAACCATTTTCAGTCTGCTCTCTGCACATCACAAGTCTCTTTCTGAAAGAAGTTCCTTTCTGTCTTACTGAGGAAACATGACTTTTACCCTAAAGATACAAATTAAGTATATTTGTTTTTGGAAATACTTGCTTAGGTAGCAATTTGCTGGTGGCTATTTATAATCTCAGAAAGGTCAGAAAATTTGGACACTCACCTTTGTGTGAAAAATATGTGCAAAACTCACCTATAAACTTAATGGCTTTTTAAAAAGTGTTTTATCTTGACATAATCAGAGAAATTTAGGTGGATCAAAATGTTTCTCATGGATACATCCTATCATATTATAAAATACTGTAAATATTCTTCTATATCTTAAAGGTTTTAATTTTTTAAAGTTCAGTGCTACCCTCAGCATGTGGTGCATTTCTTGTCTGTAAATTATGTAACGATATTATTGCTGAGTCCTTTAGCATGGAATCCACCCTCCTCCCCCTTTTAAAAAATTCCAGTCAATTTCCATTCCATTAGGGGTTAGAATTAAATAGTTTGTCCAAAAACAACTTTTTTTAAAGTCAATTAATTTTGAAGTATATATCTCCTCCACTACTTTAATATCTCTAATATCTTTCTTGTTGTAGTGATACTGTAAACTGGAACATGTTGGAAACATCTGTCCTTTTATCCAACCTCCTACCCTGAAAAATTTATTCCTGTACTTATTTCTTGAGATTTTTGTCAGTGTTTTCTACATGTTATCTGGTGGTACTTCCTCACCAAAAAGATGCATCACATTTTTTTCCCTAAATTGTTTCACAAGTATATCATGCATATTTCCATGGCAGGAAGAATAAATGTTTTCTAAATGGTATACTGCTTTTGGTTTTTTGCTATTAAAGACTTATAAGCATTTATGATTATATTTAGTAAACATTTAAGATATATTAGAGTTAGTATTTTATGATATTAAATATTACTGATAACATTATGGAGGTTTGTCTTCATCTTCTGGATCTGTAGCTTCTGCTGATTGTGAAGGCTTCACACTTTTCATTGTGCATGTGAAGAGCAAGATTCATCATTAATCATGGTGAGCACATATCCCTACTTCAAAATATTTTTGTGATAACTTCAAATTTTTTATGCTCGTTCTTGGCAAATCTTACTGTATTTTCCTTGTTTTATGGCTGATGAATAGCTGTTACCAGGAACAAAAGTATCAGCTATTGTTGCTCACTTGTGCTTGTATTATTAGAATTATCTTTGCTTGGCTGTTTCTTTGCAAGAATCTTTTTAAGCCACTTATCCATTTTGGGGGGTTGGTTTAGTAAAAACTACATAGTATAATAGGTAAATCCATGTGCCTCGAAATGTATAAAAACCACAGTACGTCTCAATATGCTGAAAGCAGCTAAACACACTCTCCCACATTATCCAACAGCTATTTTGCCCCAGCACAGGTTCGTACTGACCTGTCATGGGACCTTCTGATGTGCAGATGGAGTAAGGGGCGGTGTCAATCTTTATTTTAACTTTTAGCAAGACTTAATTTCTTATCTTTTAAAGATAAAAAGTAAATATAAATAGAGATTTTAGTTTCTTCTTCCCAAACCCCAGTGTATCACCTTGCCTTCTCCCTGGGGTGTGTTACCTGTTTGGAAACCACTGCTCTAAGGACTTGTAGTCCTAGCTGGATGGGTAGAGGGTTAGGTTCACTGGTCCCTTCACTAAGAGACTGTGCCTGAGCTGCAGGGCCACTGACTTCATCAACACCTCCTCTCCTTTGGCTCCTACAGACCATGTATATGTGTCCAGCCTCTTGCTGGTGCTGGCCTCCCTGTGGTCCCTTCATCTTTCTGGTCGCCCGTGTCCCAACCAGTCTCTAGTTTCCTAGTCTTATGTCTGAGTGCTCTGGTTGGGTCTGTTATGTTGCCCACAATATTTGAATAGAAGGAATAACTTCTTTACGTAGCTTAAAGAACCCTATCACCTAGGAAATAACAGATCCCTTTCTTTTAGCACTTTTCCTTTCAGATTTCCTCTAGCTAACCAGGATCCACCCTTTAGGTACATCAAAGGATTTCTGGGCTACATGAAAGACTAGAAAAACTTTTTAAATCTCCCATTTCTCCTCTTTGTATTTTATCCCTCTTCCTACCACCAGTTGTAGCTGTTTTTCGCTTTGATATTTGTGGCTTGTTGTGACAACAGACCACATGAATACCAATGAACAAGACATCTGAAGGAAAATCCATTGTGTTTCATTGTTTTGATTGTCATGTGTCCTGTGAATATCTTGTTTGTACTTTTAGTCTTTAAATGATATATTTTAAAAGTATACTTTCAAAGCAAACAGCTGTTTCAATGGCGAGTCAGATCCCAAAGATTTCACTACTGTAAATGGTGAACATTTCGTTTATCGCTGAGAGAGAATATCTTCAGGATTTACATGCAAAAAGTGTTTGTTATTTCCTCCCAAGGTTAGAGATAAAGAATACTATATTATTCTGAAGATCTGGGTTGGGATACTTGTGGATGTTGATGCTATAGAATAGATACATTGCTGTAAGTCCTAAATTTTTCTTATTCCTCCAATCTTAGGATAAGATAAGATAGCAAGTGCTACTCCCTGTAATTATACTTAATATAAGAACCAAAGGACCATGGAGATGAGTTATCTGCGTGGCCATCTTCTCTAGACCATCTGCTATACTTCTTTGCATTATTGTCATAAACTATTACTTATGTCACTTGCTTGCATAACAGCTTTTGATGGTTCTGTGTTGCCCGAAGAATAAGGTGCAAACCCTTAGCTTCCATATAGGACCCTTTCCAACTTGGCTACAACCTCCCTTTATATTTCTGTTTCTTTCTCTCAAGACACACACACACACACACACACACACACACACACTCCTCTTACTCCTTCCAGACCAATAATGCTATTTCTATCAGAATTCAGTATTCTAGGGAAGAACTAGATTATACAATTCAGTGTTAGAATTAGTCTATAACTAGAGAGGTGGGTTAACAGATTAGTGGGTGGTTCAGGAATAGGAGATCTTAATGAGGCACTAAAATGTTCTGGAAAGTGAGTATCAACATACAGATCACCTGGGGATCTTTTTAGAATCCAGATTCTGATTCTAGATTCTGATTCTGGTCTAGAGTGGGACCTGACAATTCTGCATTTCTAACAAAATTCCAGGTGATGATGCTGCTGATGCTGTTGCTTTGCTGCGCACTTTGAGTAGCAACATTCTAAGCTATGTTGTCCAATGTGATAGCCCTAGTCTCATGTGACTATTTAAATTTAAATTGATTAAAATTAAATAAAATTTAAAATTCACCTGCTTGGTCACAATAGTTAACACTTTAAGTGCTTGCTGAATTGGATAGCCCAGAGGTAAAACATTTCCGTTATCACAGAAAGTTCTCTTGGAAAGCACTGTTTCCTAGAGCACTATTTTTCAAGCTGTTTTCTATGGACCACCTACTAAATCAGACTCTCTGGGGGTAGGGAACTGGAAATTTGCATTTTAAACAAATACCCCAGAGGGTTCTTATGCATGCTAAAGTTATAGGAACACTTCTATAGGGATCTAAAATCTGACATACAGAAATAAAGCTAATATGGGAATATGCAAATATCAGAGACAGACATGGGGCAGTTCAGCTTAAATTGGAATTCCCTTCTTGCCAGCCATTAAAATCATATCCAGTTGTCTGCAGGTGCAATAGGTTTCACCTGGTGGAACTGACCTCTGATACCAAAACTACATAGGGTAGAAGAGGGATAGGCCCTTAAGCCAGGAGCATTCTGCAGGGATACAGCGAGTCCCAGATGTGTCCTCTGGGCCCATATGTTTTCTGGTTTACCAGGTGCTAACATCTGGTGAGGAACAGAGGCTGCATTCATTTTCAGTTATGACTCTGAAACCTAGGTAAGAACAATCAGGAAATAGCACTATTCTTTTTCTTTAGATATTTTGGATCTCCCCTTCCTGTTCAGGAATATGTATTGGGCAGATTCTCTAGTTTTTTGGCCACCTTTCAGATATAAAAACTTACATTTTCAAAAAGTTCAGTATCAATCTTACATCAAAATTTCACTCTGTCATCCAACTCTATGCTTGTTTCTGTCTTCCTTGCCCCCTTGTCTCCCAGGTTGGAATTGGGAAGAGGTCTTGGTGTATTTCACTTTCCTTGCCCCACATCCTTTCTTCTGGCAAATTCTATAATTAAGGAAAAGGGCAAAGCTGGCCTGAGTTGGTGCTGTAACGTGAGCATCAGTACCTTCTACATGCCAAATGCCCAGACACTGGCTGTTTTTCATAGAGGTGCTTTGTGGGTTTTTTGAAAGAGCCTCTGCTGGGACTGTATGCACTGTATGACCCTCCAGCTGACCCCTGACAGCCTCTGCTCAGCTTTTGTCCTCCTGAATCTTAGAGAAGGAAGGAAAATGATGCAGTATTCTCCATACCTACAAATTTCCTTACTTCAATCTCTTGTCTTTTCTAAAGCAGCCTGGAGATGAATGATGATGGTGGCTAGTTGAAGAACCATGTTGGGTATCTGTTGGTAAATCCTGCATGGATGCATGTGTTGGACACCTCCTGTGCTGCACCTACACCCTCTCAGACTACTCTTTTCCTCCAGCCATTGCTATGGCACACTGGCTGCATGCAGGTGAAGGCAACATCTCTCCTCATCTGCGAGACTTTCCACCCTGGAAGGTCATGTCTGGGTAAGACCCTTGCAAGAACCCTCTCAGTCATCTGGTGTGTTTGCAAACCTGGAAGTACGAGGGTATTAACACCCCAAGGGGCAGCGCTCGACCAGTTCAGCTCAGGAGCCAATAGCTAGGTTCTCTCCTCTTTCAACCTTTGGGAAGACAATTCTGAGGTGTATTCTACATTGCTCCTCAGAGGATCACCAAGCTAGTAGCATTGAACCTCAGTGCCCATGGTTGTGATCAGCCCTATAATTTCCCCTTGGATTAGCTTTCCCTCCTCCATTTCCCTCTTCCCAGTCCTCCACTCCTGTTTCTTGGGTCGCTTCTTGAAGTACACTTTTCTGCATGCAATTCCTTGTCGTAGGGTCTGCTTTTCAGGGGACCCATGCTAAATCATCATGTCTGTCACTTCTTTTTAGAATGTGGGGTATCTGTCATCTATTGTGCCTGCTTTGGTGACTGCAAAAACTCCAGACAAAAGGAGAAAGTTCCATCTAACATCCTTTTACACATGGTTATTGTAAATGGAATCTAAGAGGCACAGACTGATTGCCAAAGCAGTACTCCACAGTGGTTAGCATGGCATTCCTGTTGATATGAGTTCTTGTTCTTGCTCTGGTTTTTGAATGGGGGTGATGTATGGTGGACAAATAGACCTTGATTTAGATGTTGTTGAAGAAGGCTTTCCAAAAGCAGGGAGGTAAATCAAAGTCTGTTGTCTGAGATTACTTTGTGTCTGAGTACATCAGCTGTGGTTCTTTGCTTCAAGCAAAGACTGAACTTAAGAAAAAAACTATATTGGAAGCAGCAGTGGGTGCTGTGATGTGCCACCTGATCCCCCTTTTGGACTGAGGCATGTTTTCCTCCAGCTGCTAGGATGTTGGCTGCTGGCAGCTCAGAGCTGAGGCCCTCCCCTGGAATTGCCCTTGGCTGAAGGGAGTCATCTTTCCCAAGGTTACGGCCCCTTTTTGGTGGCAGCCTACACCCAATGCCTGGTCATTGTGGAGTTACAAAGGCCTGATCCCCTGGTTTCAAGACAGGCCACCTCTGAAGGGCCATCCCAGCCACATCTCCCATGGGACTGGCTGAGACCTGTGTGCAATGCACAACTGCATTTCAGTTCCAATTCTCTCTCTGCCCATCCTGTTTATTTCCCTCCCCTAAAAGCATGTTCCTGAGAGCACACCTCAATAAACTTTCTGCACATGAATCTCTGGCTCACTGTTTCCTGAGGAACCTGACCTACCACAGAAGGATACTGGGAGTTCACAGAATTGAAGAAAGTAGTAAATATAGTCCCTTGGGAAGGACGGAAAACAGGGCAGCCCTGGGGATCTTAGTGTCAGAAACTTGTAAATCCTTTAGGGTGCTGCCAGGGCATCTCTGCTCAGTATTCAAATTCCTGGAAGGGAGCATCTGATGGGCTCATTTCAAGTCAGGAAGCAGGGCACTGTGATTCCAGCTCCAGCAGAACTACCTGGAGTAGTGGACAAAAAGGAGAAACAAAGATGTTTTCTGGATCATAGTATGTGAAGTTTTCTTGGAGGAAGAAATTGAATGTGCTGGCTGAGGACTGGAGCTCTAAGCAGAGGATGCTGTGGCTCACATTGCCACATTGCCAAAGAACAGGATGGCATCCACACCCTGGCGCAGAGGCAGTGGAAATAAAACCCTAGATATTTTCTCCAAGGCTCATCAGGATGCATAACTGGAGTGGAAAACTGGTTTGCTGATGGTTCTTGCTTGCTTTGTTTGCTTCATATAGGAGAATCAGTGTCCCTTCAGGTAGGTCGAGACTCAACAGAAGTTCGGCTAGTTTTGGTGGAAGGACCCTGTCTCTGGGGAATGAGTATGTAGCAGGCTTTGAAGGAGTACTTTCTGTGTACCAGGAGCCACCAAACGTTACCCTCCTCCTCCTCTTAGTTCAGAACCACCTGAGAGACAGACCCAGGGTTCAGATGGAGAGTGCGTCAAGTATCAGCTTTGTTAATAATGGGTTGGAGGTTGTGGCTCAGATGTACAGATGCCTAATGCTTGACTCCTGCATTAGATGTACTCCTCCTCCAGCCAGTCATGAACACAACCAGCCAGACATGCGCAGGCCTCCCTGGCAGGAGCAGGAGCTCAGCCCGTGGCAGAGAGTACTTTTTCTAGGGGAGGTTCAGATCCAAAAGAAAGAAACCAAGGAAGGATGAATCTAGCATTCCCAGTTCCTTCTATAAAACTCACCAGTCAGTGAGGGGAGGAGGGGAAAGAGGACAGAAGTGTTGCTCTGGCTGAAGTCCTTCCACATGAGCACATGAACCCAGGGAAATGGAAGTGCCGAACAGCTACTTTCTGTATATTTACATATATTAGCATGTTCAGTTTTTTACAAGTCTATGAGGTATCACTATGCCCATTTCATTGTAAATGAAACTGAGGCCAAGGTCATATTCCAAGTAAGTAGTGACTCAGGATTTGAGTGAAGTCTTCTCTGATTTTAAAGCCCACGATCTTTTCACTGCCCTGCACCTCCATCTTGATTTAGAGTGCCAGAGAAGCCGAGCACTCCTGGCTCTCTTCCTGAAACCTCCCAGTGAGCTCTCCTGAGCCCACCAGCTCAGTTTGGGCCTGATTGCTTGAGTTCTCTCAAGTACCTAAGTCCACAAAGGCTTCAGTGGATGTGTGGCAGATTTGAAGAGGCTGTCACCTGGCCTAAGATGGGAAGGCTGGGGAGAGAGCTTCCTTCCTGTGGAGCTGGGTCTTGGTCTCCCCTTCAGGGACTATGCGTGGTTGTCAGGCCAGGCTGTTATCATAAGGCCAAAGAGGCTACCGTAGTGGTTTCACCAGGCTTCCCACTGGGGAGCCCTGGGCCAGGTAAGGGCAGCCACTTTAGCTCAGCCCCTCTTGTCAGGTCTGCAGAAATCAGCTCCAACTAGGGACTGGGCCAGCTGGGCCTTCTCTGTCGGCTCAGGAAGGCTCTTTAGGTTTACTTCTCTCTGGTTACCCAAAACTCAGCCTGTCTTCAGCTAGCTACTCTGTTCTGTTGAACTCTGACCACTTCCCCCAAATCTGGATTTTCTCTTGGTTTCCTTATGAGCCTTTCCATCATCTACCAAGTGGTTAAATTTCTTGCTTTTCAGTCTCTCTGTAGATAGTCCAACCACTAGACGCCCCCATTCCCTCTCCTTCTGTCTCTTCCCCTACCTCTCCCTATGCCCTCCTCCATTTTCCCCCTTTGCTCTACTTCCTTTTCCTTCTCTCTATCCTTCTTTCTTTCTCTCCCTCCAACTCCTCTCCCCTGTTTCTCTCACCTTTCCCCTCTCTTCTTCCTCATGCCTCCTGCACTGTGAATCCCAGGGGGATAAGCCTATTTGCAAAGGAGGCGTCTCTGTCACATGATTGTGAGAGCCCCAGTAGAAAGCAGCACAATGGGAATGTTCTGCTAAGGGTCAAGGGACCATAAAGGATTTCTGAATACTCTAGAAAATCCTTGAGGATGCAGGGGTGAAGGTGGGTGTAGCCCACCCAGAGTGAGAGAGAAGCTGACAAAAGAAGAGAGGAAGGGTTCCATATTTCATTTTATTCGCTTGAAGTTTTGCCCAGAACTAGTCCTGCCTGTATTTTATCATCTGTAAAGGCCTTTATTTCTACCATCTAATCCATCAGTCTTTTTTTAAAGCTTAGATAATAGTTTTAAAAAATCCCATCAATATCAGCCACCAGGAGGGAAATTTCAGAAAATGAGATGATAAGATTTCCAAGTTTATTGAAAAACCTATAGATAACTGCATGGCTGTTCATGCTATTTTAGAAAACAAGTACAGCCAGGCGAGTCATTTAATAATGCGGGAATCGTCGGCTGTGTGGATGGTGGACAGTGAGGGCAAGCTCACCTTGGGCAGGCGGAAATGAACACTGCGGTACACTGCAGGCTAGCAGCCCAGGGGCCTGCTGCAGACTGAGCCTCACAGCTCTCGTGAGCCGCACCATGCACCCTGTAGACAAAGTGGCCAGGTTTTTCCAAGTACAGTAGAACCTAAACTCATCCCCTCCCATGTCAGCCACAGCCTGGAGCCCACCTTTTGGAGTAGTGATGGGCTTTCAAGGGCGTTTAATCCTTGCCAACATCCTAAGATAGGTATTATTATCCCTATTTTCCTGATGACAAAATTGATTACCACAGGAGGGAGGGAACTTTTATAAAACCACAGAATGGGGTGGCAGAGATAGGACTGTAACCCAGGTTTTCCAGTTCCTGGCCCTGTGCCACTTTTGCTCTATCAAGCTCCTCTACCATCAAAAACAGTCTAGAAGGGGAGATGTTAAAGAAGCCATCTTTCTGCCTGTGGGGTAAGTGTGTGTGAATTGGTGGCTGAGTGGGGACAGGGTAGTTAGGTAGAGGCCAAAGAAAATAGGAGTTACAGGTATAAACTCTAAAATCAAGCTTTGTGGCTTCAAATCCTGGCTCCCCCACTTATTAGCTTTGTGACCTTGTATAAGTTACTTAACTTCTCTGTGCCTCTTTATAAAAGGGGAATGATAATAATATCTACCCATAGACTTGTGGTAAATGTTAAAAGAAATAATGGATAAAGCATTTACTACAGTCCCTGGAATACAGTAAGTTGGATAAATGGTATAGCCTTGGGCCCACTTTTAGAATCAGAGCAAATCTTTAAAAGTGCCTCAAACGGTGCCTGTCTCCTAGAGGTGGTCAGGAATTTTCAATCCCTCCCTGCCATCTTTCCTCTGGCCAGGAGTCTCTACAGGCCTTTGGGTCCTCACCCACCCTACAATGGACTAGGACCCTGTAGGTAGCAGGTTAGAAGAGCTGTTCTTAGAATTGTCCCTTGACTGCACAATACACTAACTATGACCCTGCCACCCACTCACAGTGTGACCTCGAGCTGGCCTGGGCCTCAGTTTCCTCAGCTCTTACATACGGGGGTAAGAACAGACCTGGGTTTGAGGAAGTGTGGTTTGTGAACTACAACGTCAGAATCACCTTACTGGATTGTTGAAAATACTGATTCATGAGCCTTGGCCCAAGTTGACCAAATCAGAATCTCTAAAGGTGGGGCCCTAGAACCTACATTTATAAAAAGCACCACCTCCCCCCCAACCCTGCCACCGTGTCTTGATCCAACTTTCAGAGATTCTGATATAATTGACCATTAATAAATAGTGAAAGTAAATAATAAATTAATAAATTAAAATTTAATTTTTAGCTTTGATTATTTTAAAGATTTTTCTGTTTGATTTTGGTTGTTTACAATTTTACTAGTTGTACCCAGATGTGGTTTTCTTTGTATTTATTCTGTTTGGCATTTATAACACTTGTTGAATCTATGGTTTGATGTGTTTTGTCAGTTTTGGAAAATTCTGTCATTATCTCTGTGAAAATTAATTCTGTCCTACTTGCTTTTTCCTTTCTAAGACTCCAATTACACATATGTTGGGCCTTTTCATCATGTCCTGTTCTGTCTTGTGTGCTTCCCTCCTCTCAGTATCTTCCATCCATTTTTTTCTCTCCATTCTTTCAATCTGGATATTTTCTATTGACCTATTTTTGAAGTCATTAATACTTTCTTCAGCTGTGCCTAATTTGATATTAAGCCCATCTATTGGGTTCTTAGTTTTAGTTATATTCTTCAATTCTAGAATTTTTTAGTTTACAAATACATTTTAATTCTTTACTAAAATTCTCCATCTTGTCTTTTATTTCCTTGGACATATTAATCACAGTTATTTGGAAAGCCTCTATGTGATAATTCCAAAATGGGATCTCCTTGAATCTCTTTCTATGTCTATTTTTTCTCTTGATTTTGGGCCTTTCACATCTCCTCAAATGCTTTGTAATTTGTTTATTGAATGTCAGATATTGTGTATGAAAAAATGTGAGATAATTTGAAGCTGTAAATGATGCTGTTTTCCTCCTGAGAGGATTTACTTTTGCTTTTGGAAATTAAGGTAGGGGCAGATCCTTGTAATCCAGTCTTGGATTGAGCAGTTTTGAAACCAGGCTTTAGTTTTTGTGAAAACTGGTCTGTTTCTGGTTAGTCCTTATTCCTAGGCTTCAGATCCCATCTGAAAGCTGGAGGTACATACCAGGGTCGCCATGTTGCCCTCAGCTCCCATTTTTGCTCCCCCAGTTTGTTGAGACTACAGAAGCTCTGCTTAGCCTCACAGCCTTTTGGTTGCCGGTTTCTATTTTGTTTCTCAATT